GAGCTGCGCGAGTGGTTCGCTCGCCGCTGGAGACGTGCTGCTGAGTCTGGAGGTGCTGCTGGAGCTGGAGCTGGAGCTTCTTCGACCGTCGTGGGTGCGGGTGCTGCCGGTCCCAGAGCTGCTGGACCTGCGGGTCCTCCTGGAGCTGGAGCTGCTGAGGGCGCTGGTGCTGAGCCTACTGCTGTTGGTCCCTGCCACTGGAGGTGTGGGTGGCGCTGGTGCTGTCGCTGAGGGTGCTGGTGCAGACCCTGCTGCGTCTGGAGCTGCCGCGCGGCCTCGGCCGTACTTCGTTCCGCTCTTGCAGCAGGTTCTTGGTCTTTCTCCTCCGGTAGAGGGTCCACCGCCTGTCCAGTCGCAGTCCCTGCTGGAGCCTTCCTCTCCACTGCCTGCTCCCTCTCCTTACACTGGTCCTACTGGAGGTCTTGCTGAGCGTCGTGAGCCTGCGTCTCGTCCCGCGTCGCCTGTTCGTGCTGCTCGCGCTAGTGGTCGCGGTTCGCGTCAGCGTCCTCCTCCTGTCCCTGGCACGCACCGGATGTCTTTGCGTCCGTCCACTGCTCCTCTGCGTGCCCCTTTGCCTTCTCCTCCTGAGTCCTCTCTTCCTGCGCTTGCCGACCCTGAGTCGGACTCTCTTCGTGCTGCCAGTCCTACTGTCACGCGTCTGCTTGCTACTGTCGTCACTAACCCCTCTTTTGAGTCCACTGCTGCGTCTGCTCTAGTCGCTGAGCTCGTCAGCTTTGCTGCTCGCTGTCGTCTCGACTACGCTGCTAGTCTTGTTGCTGAGTCTGCGTCTGTCTGTCCTCCGTCCGTCGGGGGTGAGTGTGCTCTTAGCACGGACGTCCTAGAGGACAGGCAGGAGGAGTTACAGTGTCTAGCGGCTGCTTCACCTCATCTCGCGTCTGTACTGCTTGCCCCTGAGGGAGACCCGGATGCACTAGACATCCCGACTCCGCGTTCTTACGCGGAGGCCGTAGAGGGTCCCTACTCCTCTCAGTGGCAGGCAGCTATGGATGCAGAGATGGCTTCCTGGAAGTCCACAGGCACCTACGTTGACGCGGTTCCCCCTCCTGGGGCGAACATCGTCAGTGGCATGTGGATCTTCAGGGTGAAGCGGCCGCCGGGCTCTCCACCTGTCTTCAAGGCACGGTACGTTGCTCGTGGCTTCAGTCAGCGGCAGGGAGTTGACTACTTTCAGACCTTCTCTCCCACCCCGAAGATGACTACTCTTCGGGTGCTGCTGCACATAGCCGCTCAGCGCGACTACGAGCTTCACTCTCTCGACTTCAGCACTGCGTTCTTGCAGGGTAGCCTGCACGAGGAGATCTGGCTTCGCCGTCCACCTGGCTTCACTGGGACTTTCCCTCCTGGCACCCAGTGGAGCCTCCGACGGCCAGTCTACGGTCTCCGCCAGGCACCGCGTCAGTGGCATGACACACTGAGGACTACGCTTGCGGCTCTTGGGTTTGCTCCTTCTACTGCTGACCCGTCGCTGTTTCTTCGCACCGACACTTCCCTGCCGCCGTTCTACATCCTCGTGTACGTCGACGACTTGGTCTTTGCCACAGCAGACACTGCTGGACTCGCCTACGTGAAGTCCGAGCTGCTGAAGAGATACACGTGCACAGACCTGGGTGAACTGCGCAGCTACCTTGGCTTGCAGATCACTCGGGACAGAGCACGCCGCACCATTACCTTGACTCAGTCACACATGGTGCAGCAGGTCCTTCAGCGCTTCGGCTTCACGTACTCCTCGCCTCAGGCCACTCCTCTGCCTACTCGCCACTCACTCTCAGCTCTGCCTTCGGATGAGTCCGTAGAGTCGAGTGGTCCGTATATAGAGCTTGTTGGCTGCCTCATGTACCTGATGACCTGCACACGACCTGACCTTGCATACCCTCTGAGCATTCTTGCACGCTATGTTGCTCCTGGGAGACACAGACCGGAGCACATGGCTGCAGCGAAGAGGGTATTGCGTTACCTGTGCAGTACGTCGGGCATGGGGCTAGTGCTTGGAGGGCGGAGTCCAGTGGTCCTTACCAGCCACGCGGACGCTTCTTGGGCTGACGACCAGGCTACGCAGCGGTCGTCACAGGGTTACACCTTCAGCCTTGGTTCCGGCTCTGTCTCGTGGCGGTCTACTCGCTCGTCTTCGGTTCTCGGGCTCCAGTTGTGAGGCTGAGATCTACGCCGGGGCCATGGCTGCACAGGAGCTTCGCTGGCTCACCTACCTGCTGACTGACCTTGGAGAGCCGCCTCGTTCTCCTCCAGTGCTGTACGTAGACAACAAGGCTATGCTGGCCTTGTGTCGAGAGCAGCGCTTGGAGCACAGAACGAAGCACATTGCTCTCCGCTACTTCCTTGCTCGTGAGCTGCAGCAGCGTGGTCAGTTGCGACTTGCGTACGTGGCCTCTGAGGCCAACACTGCTGATGTGTTCACCAAGGCACTCGCGCCTTGTGACCATCAGCGCTTTTGCACCCAGCTGGGTCTTGTGCCTGTCTTGCCTCACTTGCTCTCCTCTTGACTTCACTTGTACTGTGACATATATATATGCCTGCTCTTGTTTGTCTAGTTTTATATATATGTCTGTACTCCTGCATGTGAACTGGCCTCTGGCCCTACTCTTGTGCTCGGACTGTGTGGTGACTTTGTGATCCACCCTGAGCTTGCTTTGCTTTGCTTGACTGGTCTTGTGACCCCTTGTTCTCCCCCACTTTGCCTATGGGGGTTGTGTCAGATTTATATGACATAGTTGCTGTAGGCTATAGTGGGGTAGCACATATGGGGTACAGGGTTTCTAGGGTTGTATTTGTACCCAATCTTTCCTTAGTCATTTCATTCCTGCTTACTCATTTTCACACCGACCGCATCTGGGTACCAGGATACACGCTACTACGGGAACTACTGTTACAGGAAGCACACGACGGAGTTACCTCGGGACATTTCGGGGTAGAAAAAACACGGCAGCAGCTGCAGCGGTACTACTACTGGCCAGAAATGTTGACCGATGTGCAACGACACGTGGCATCGTGCCCCACTTGCCAGCTCTTGAAGTCAAGCAGGAAGCGGCCGGCGGGACAATTACAACCCATCCCGCCCCCAGAGCGTGCTTGGCAGCAGGTGACGATGGATTTCGTCACGGGGTTACCAGCTGGGGCGAGTGGGAATGACGCGATCCTGGTCGTCGTCGATCGACTAACGAAGATGGCTCATTTCGCAGCATGCAGGAAATCAATCACAGCCGAGGAAACCGCCCGACTCTTCATCACCACCGTCGTTCGACTGCACGGGATACCCGCATCGATCATCAGCGACAGAGACACGAAATTTACAAGCAACTTCTGGCGGAACCTGTGGCAGCAGTTCGGCACGCGCTTACAGTTCAGTTCATCCTATCACCCCGAAACCGACGGACAGACGGAACGGACAAATCAGACCATGGAGCAGCTGATTCGAGCCACGTGCGACGATCCGAATACGTGGGAACAGCAGCTGCCACTCATCGAGTTGGCATACAATAACGCACCATCAGCCACGACGCAACAGTCGCCGTTTTACTTGAATTACGGACAGGACCCCAACAGTACCCATGACACCGAATCCCGACAACCCCGTCCCACGAGCACAACAGTTCGTCGAGATTCTGCAAGCAGCACGGACCAGGGCAGCAGAAGCAATCAAAAAATCAAACATCATCGCTAAACGCAACGCCGATCGCCATCGCAGACCCGTTACTTATCAGCCCGACGACCTCGTTTTACTCGACACTCAGAACCTCCGCCTGCCCATCACTCCAAAACTCCGCCCTCGATACTGTGGGCCATTTCGAATCAGTCACATGGTCACGCCAGTCACCGCGCACCTCCTCCTCCCTGCTGACTGGTACGTCAGCCCCTCGTTCCACGTCAGCTTACTTCGCCCTTACGTGCCATCCACCAGCCAACTCCCACGACATCGACCCACCAGCATGACACGACCACCAACCGAACCAGTCATCACCCCCGACAAGATCCTGAGCCACAGAGTTCGCGACCCTCGAGGAGCCCGAAAAGTGGAGTTTCTGATCCGCTGGAAAGATCGTACCCCCACCGAGGACAATTGGGTTCCCCTGGAGAAAGTTGAAAATCACCCCGTCGTCACCGACTACCTGCGTAGCCGCAATTTCCGAGACATCCACGCGCTTTCATAAGGAGGACCTCCTTAGGAGGGGGGGTAGTGTAAGGAAATTCCCTTTTCCTTACTTAGCGTCCCTGCTCAACGCGTACATCACTGTAGCACCTCAGTCAGCACCGTTACCACTCCGCGACCATCGCATCATTCATCATCCCGCCCTTTTCGCACATCGCATCCCGACCTCACGGCTCGGCTGGTAACCCGCGCTCCGGACCTACGCTTCGACATTTTCCCAACCTCAGTCCCAGGCTCGTCGCGCGACCATTACCGTTACCACTGTAGTTTCGCTATATAATGTTCGCTCATGCCTTCGCTCATTTGTATTCTTGCTTCGATAGTGCAATTCTCGTTCGTTCACTCAATTGCACTCGTAACAGGTTTCCATTTCGAATCTTGTCGCCTGCTTCTTTCGAGAGTTTTGCCTTCAGTCGAAAAGGACTCGATATCTGCAGTCTCAGACGAAATGTATAAGGCTGTCTGAGAAATCAGACGAATAGAAAAAGCTTCTCTAAAAAATTCGGACGAAATTAAACAGCATGTCTACAGCATCAGATGAACCAGTAAAAATGTGTTCAGAATCCAGAAATTCAGACCAAAAATTTCTGATTAAGTAAGCCCTGCCCACTAGTAGCGCGGCCACCGAAAGTGATTATTTCCGTATTTCCCGTGCATGCGCTGGCTGGTACTCTTGAGCATGGCTGAGAGTGGGAATGCACTGGCAGGGATGGTGATATCCACCAGTATCAAGGGGACACACAACAACACAAGCTACCCTAACAGGAGGCACATTCACAGCAAACTAGTGCCAACATACAGTAGGTGCCGGCACAGACTAGGCGGCACACAGGCCACACATAAGGTATCCCTCTACACAGCATCCACGCCTTCTCCAATGGCCTCCCAGCGCTCCCAGCGCCTGGCAGTGCCTTGCGGTGGCACAGCAGCAGTGAGCGATGGAGAGAGAAAGGGGAAGGTCGATTAGCGCTGCTGTCACGGGTCTCGCGTGTGGGCGTGCCACGTCGCCAGCGCCTCCAAACACCTGATGAGAGAAGCCCTGCGAGCCAGGCAGCACACGCAGCACACGAGGATGCTCACTGTGCACACTGCTTGAGGCAGTGCAGTGCAAGAGTGGAAAGTGGGGAGCAGCAGTGGGCACTGAGTGAATGCAAGTGTCACGTAGTACAGAGCAGCAGCTCTCAAATGTGCGCAACGAATAGAGATGAAATCTCCACTGTAAACACATTCCTCTTCTAATTCACACCGCCTCACCTTGTCTCCATCATCTCTGTCATCCTCCTCCTCCCCTTGGCTCTCCCACACATCCTCATCCCACTCCTCCATCCACTCCTCCCCATCGTCCCACTCCCCTCCCTCATCCTCCACACCACCACCCACACCTGTCATCCCATACCTCCCCTCGCCCTGCCCCCCATGCACATCACCCATGCGTCCACCTGTCCGCCTGCCCCTCCATCGCCACCCCTCGTCGCCCCACATCCTCCAATCCAAGCAGCGCTCCCCTCGCCCCACTGCCAACCGCATTCCCTCGCTCCGCCCTCTCCCTTACAAACCGCCCCCCCCCCCCTCATCGCCACCACGCATGCCCTTCCATCCTGCGCCCCCCCTCCTCCTCGTGCCACCCGTCCCCTCCCCCCCCAGCCCGCCATTCCCTCCGCCTCTCCCGGGCGAGCGCCACGGCGGCGGCCCGAGAGCACATCGCCCCACCAGAACCACCGGTGCACCGCCGGCTGAGGGCATGGGCGCATGGGTTTTTTTGAGGAGGATGCCGTGTTTTGGATGGGGGGCGCACGGAGAGGTGATGCCACAGGGTTTAGGTTTTAGGTGGAAGTTGCAGGGAAGCAGGCAGAGTGAGCAGTGGTGTGGGGTGGTGCAGCAGGCAACAGCGGGTCCAGGGATGGAGGCAGTGGGTGTGCAGGCCACGAGGCATGTGGGTGTGCAGGCCACGAGCCATGTGGGTGTGCAGGCCACGAGCCATTTGGGGAGGTGAGCAGTGGAGTTAGTGCACACACAACTGTTTCTAGTGAGTGCATGCCTGCTGTGCCGTGCATTACAGCCTCCCGTACCCCCACCCCCACCCCCTCCCCCACGCCCACCTGCAGCGACCCGTTGATGCCGACAGCGACGGTGGTGGAGGCCGGCAGCAGCGGCGGCGCCGAGGGCGCGCGAGTAGCCGCGGTCGTCCGACACGAGCAGCACGGCGCCCACCTGCCCGCTGCGCACCGCCGCCGCCAAGTCCCGCTTCAACGCCTCGTCCGCCGCCTGGGGGGGAAGGAGCCCGTGCGGGGTGGGGCCCGGGGAAGAAGGGGGGGTAGGGGTGGGGGTGGGAGCGCAAAGTGAGTAGCAGAGTGATGAGGGCGGCGGCGGCCACACTCTCCTTTCACCTCTCACCTCCCCCCCTCCCTCACCGCCCACCTGCGGACTGCTGGCTGACGAGGCGCACGACCACCCCCAGCGCGGCGCAGCTCGGGCATGAGCCCGTAGCCGTTGGCGGGGCAGCAGCACGCCGCGCACGGCCTGCTGGTAGCGCTGCTGCTTGCCCCGATACTCCTCCCTCAGCCGCCGCTTCCGCCTGCTCGCACGCACCGAGGGGGGGGCGGGCAGCAGCACAGAAATGATGGTAATGGCAGGGGTGTGATGGGGCCAGGGGAAAGGGCACAAGAGGGGCTGTGGCGAGCGCGCCATTGGGGGAGGCGTGGTTGAGGTGTTGCATGCGCTTCTCATGCTCCATCTGGTGCAGCGACACAAAGTGCTTCCTCAGTGCCACCGCCCCGCTGCACCGCCGCTCCGCACAGCTCACACCGCACCTCCCGCTCCTCCGCCTCCCGCGCGCCGCCATGCGCTCCGCATCGCTGGCGCTCTCTCCGCTGCTCGCGCAACCCAGGCGGGGACGTGCTCAAAGGCGTGGCGGTTGGCATAGGCCAGCACGTCCACGGGCGACCCGAAGCTGGCGGCCAGGTCCGTTGAGGCGCGTGGCGGGCGTCGAACGGCTCCATGCGCTCCGGCTGCACGTTGTCCAGAATCCCACAGCACCACCGCACGGCCCCCCCGCCGCCGCCCCCTACCACGCCGCCCCATCCTCGCCTTGCGCCACGACCCCCTGCCTCGCTTGGTCCATCCGCCCGTCCCGAGGCCCCCGTTGCGCCAGGCGCGCCGTGCACCCTCACGGCCCCCCATCCCGCTGGTCCCAGCCCGCCTCCCCCCCCGCGCAGCACGGCGCCCTCCGGCCGTGGTTCGCGCGCGGGAGTCCTCCGCCGAAACCCCGTTGCCCCTTGTGCGATTCCCCCCATGCTCCCGAAGCGAGCATCGCCGCACTGCCTCCCCGCGCCCCGCCATTTCCCCTCACGACCCCCTCGCCGCCTGTCCCCGCCACTGAGAGCGTCCGTGCGACGCGGCGGGGAAGAGAGCGCAAGAAGCGCAAGGGACGGGGCCGCGTCGGGGCAGGGAGCGGCACAAGGGCTGCAGTAGTAGAGGGGACAGGGGGCGGCGGGGGGCACGCGCAGACAGCAAGCGCACGCGGCCGTGCGACGTCTGCTACTCGCCGCAGCGGAGTGGCCTGTCGCCGTGGTCGCGAGGCTCCGCTGCGAAGAGCGAGCGACGGGGCCGTGCGATGCGGCGTGCGACGAGGGGGAGCGAGGTGGAAGGAGAAGCGCCTGGGGAGCGATGAGGGGCGCGCGGAGAAGCATGTGGGCGACCGGCGCGGCGAAGCGGAAGGGCGCGGATAGGCGGAGGGACGTGGAGAGGCGGAAGAACATGGGTTCGAGGTGAAGGTGGCGTGACGCTTGAGCCCTTGTGGAGGCGCGCGGAGCGCGGACTACCTGGCGCAATGCGTGGGAGTCATCACGTGCATCCCAAGAATACGCTACCTAGGTTGCGGTTTGGAAAGTTCTAAACCTGAGTGCAAAATGGGCATCCAGTGCTCCACCCTCAGTCGGGTTCGGACGCGAGGGTGGGCATTCAAGTGATGGTGTTTTGTAATGTTCACCACTTTGAAGACCAGTTTCTAATTTCACCGCGTTAGACCATTGCGCAGCATAATGATACCTTTCGAAGTCAATGGAAAACGAAACGAGTAGACCTTCTCACTTCCCCAACGAACGGGGGTATTCCGATTTCGCACAACATTATTCGTCAACCTCGCCACCAAACCGAACGTGCTACCATACAGTACTAAAACAGCAGCACAATAGGCGAACCAGCGGTAATTTCCAGCTGTGTTACCACAAAGGGGGTTGTTTCGAGAACATCAACCTTGGGCTTTGAGGTGGAGACCAGCCCTCCCAAGAAGCATCCGCTCCAAATGCACCCATCCACGCCGAGGCGCGCGGTGCCATTCCCTCGTTTCTAGTCTCTAAACGCAACGGTCTAGTCGCAACGCGCTAATCGCAAAGGTCTAGTCGCAACGGGAAAGAAAGTGGCAACGTGATTAGGAGCGAGGAGTTAAGCAATCAGGCAGCATTGGTAAGCGACGCACGCCCACCATCCCGACTGCGCTAAGGGCGTATCCCTGGGTGGTGGCAGGGCAACTGTAGCTGGCACTGTTGGTGGCATGCGCATTTTCCGGGCCCTGTGTTTTTGGGAAAGTTGCCACCAACCTTGCCAGCTACAGTGGCCCTGCCACCAGCCAGGGATACGCCCTAATACGCCTCGCGAGCACCCAAGGAGCGCCGGCGACTGCCAGCGCTGCTCGTGCGGGTGTCGCGACGCCACGCGCCTGCCCCGCCGCGATTGTCTCACCTCGTAGACGTGCCTCTCGCGTGCCCGCCCCGCCTCTCCGCCCCGCCTCTCCCCCCCGCCTCTCCGCCACCGCCTCTCCGCCTCCCGCTGCCCTGTAGCGCACGCGAGGATTAATCGGGGATGGGTAGAAGCCATTCCCGCCGCGCGTGTCCCCGCTGTGATCTCTGGCCTGCGTATCCCCCCACACCCCTCGCGCCGCGCTGCTTAAGGCTTACCGCCGCCACCCAGCCCAGACTCACACTGCCCTTCCTGCTCCCCTGCTCCCGCTCGCGTACGTTTCCCGCAGGTTGTGGGAGGAGTAGCCCATCAGTGCAGCGCGGGTTGTGGGAGGAGTAGCCCATTAGTGCAGCGCGGGTTGTGGGAGGAGTAGCCCATCAGTGCAGCGCGGGTTGTGGGAGGAGTAGCCCATCTAGTGCAGCGCGGGTTGTGGGAGGAGTAGCCCATTAGTGCAGCGCGGGGCGGGGCACGGCGGTGCGGGCGGGCGGATGACGAACCTGCGCGCGGCGGTGGGGGCAGCGCGTGCTGTGCCCCGCGACGGACTGCGTTGACATCTGCAACGCGCCCCTCGACGGCCATGTCAAGATGCCGCGCCTCGGCTTCGGTACCTACATGGTGAGCCACGCGCATGGTGAGGCGCGTGCATGGTGAGGGATGTGCGCGACTCATGGGGCGTGTGTGCGACTCATGGGGGTGTGTGTGCGACTCATGGGGCGTGTGTGCGACTCATGTGTCATGTGAAGCCACTTAGCGCGGCCGTGTGTCCCACCCCCACCTCGTGCGTACCACACTGGCCCCCGTCAGATCTCAGCGCGCGATGCGGAGGCGGCGGTGCTGACGGCGCTGAGGGAGGGGTATCGCCACATCGACACCGCTCAGCTGCACCGCAATGAAGCCGCTGTTGGTGAGACTCGCACCGCCCACTCCCCCCTTTCCCCTGTGTCCCTTCCCCCTCCGCCCTTTCCCCGCTCCCCTGCCCGCCCTCACCGTGTGCTGCCATCTCACATGCGGGCAGTCGTGCCTATCGTCATCTGTCTCTGGCGGGGGACATGCTGTGCTTCACCATGTGCAGTCTATGGGACGCATTTCATTTGCCTCCTCAATTCATGTGAGCGTGTCATCGTCCCATCCCACCCCACCCCATCCCATCCCATCCCATCCCATCCCATCCCATCCCATCCCATCCCATCCCATCCCATCCCATCCCATCCCATCCCACCGCGTGCCATCCCATCGCGTGCCATCCCATCCCATATTGACGCGCGCCCCACCAGGCAGGGGGCGGTGAGGGCGAGTGGGCTGGCGAGGGAGAGTGTGTTTGTGACGACCAAGCTGTGGAATGCCGACAACGGCTACGACGCCACGCTGCAGGCCTTCCACCGCTCGCTCAGCGAGCTGGGGCTTGACTACGGTGGGCTTGAATATGGGCTATGGTGGATGGGAGGGACTATGGTGGATGGGAGGGACTATGGTGGGTGGGAGGGACTATGGTGGGTGGGATTATGGTGGGCGGGACCATGGTGGGTGGGACTATGGTGGGTGGGACTATGGTGGATGGGAGGGACTATGGTGGGTGGGAGGGACTATGGTGGGTGGGACTATGGTGGTGGGATTATGGTGGGTGAGACTATGGTGGGTGGGACTATGGTGGGTGGGATTATGGTGGGTGAGACTATGGTGGGTGGGACTATGGTGGGTGGGAGGGACTATGGTGGATGGGAGGGACTATGGTGGGTGGGACTATGGTGAGTGGGACTATGGTGGGAGGGACTATGGTGGGTGGGACTATGGTGGGTGGGATTATGGTGGGTGGGACTATGGTGGGTGGGATTATGGTGGGTGGGACTATGTTGGGTGGGTGGGAGAACCATGGTGGTTGGGAGGACTATGATGGGTGGGACGGATTCGCATGTTTCAAGCCTCCCTTCCCATGGCTGCTCCTTCCATGGCTGTGCCTTCCACTCTGCTCTCATTGCCCACCACGCACGCCATGTTGTCATGTTGCCACCTGTACCTGCTGCACTCGCCTTCTGCCTTCCTCTCGCCCTTCACCGCACGCCGTGCTGTCCCCCTCCCACCCCCCTCCTCCCCCCCCCAGTGGACCTGTACGTGCTGCACTCGCCCATGCGCGTGGACGCGCGGCTGGACTCGTGGCGCGCCATGGAGGACCTGCTGAGGGGGGGGCGAGTGAGGGCCATCGGGGTGAGCAACTTCGGGCAGCACCAGCTGGAGGAGCTGTTCGAGCACTGCACCGTGCGCCCCGCCGTCAACCAGCTCGAGCTGCACCCCTTCGGCACGCGGCGCGCCCTCGTGGACTTCTGCGTGCAGCACGGCATGGCGCTGCAGGCCTACTCGCCCCTCACCAAGGGCACTCGCCTGCGCGACCCCACGCTCGTCGAGGTGCGCTGTGGGTGTGGTGCATGAGTTGAGCTTCAGGCAGGTGTGCCCTTGGCAAGGCGCGCACTTCGCTTTTCTGTTGGGATTTGATGGTGGAGGCCAGGGAAACACAAAGTGCCTCCAATTCTCTGAATTGGGGGAACAGAGAAATGAGCGAAAGAGAAGTGGGCGAACAGAGAAGTGGGGGCGCTTGGAAGATGCGGGTGTTCCAAACATTATAGCAACCGGGGTTGGGCAGATGTATGTTGGGCACATGGAGTGGAAGGGAAGGCAAGGCGAGGAGGTGCAGGTGTATATGGCAACGCACATGATGGCACCGCACATGATGGCAATGCACATGATGGCAATGCACATGATGGCAACGCACATGATGGCAACGCACATGATGGCAATGCACATGATGGCAACGCACATGATGGCAACGCACATGATGGCAACGCACATGATGGCAACGCACATGATGGCAATGCACATGATGGCACCGCACATGATGGCACCGCACATGATGGCACCGCACATGATGGCACCGCACATCGCACATGATGGCACCGCACATCGCACATGATGGCACTTTCTACTGCGTGCTTGCTGCTTCCAACTTACCCCCACTGCATGTGCACCTCACCCCCACTGCTTGTGCACCTCACGCCCACTGCATGTGCGGTACGTGAAGAGCCACGGCGCAGCCGATGGTGCCATCATGCTGCCCCCTTGGTGTGTCCACCCCACGTGTGAGTGGCATGGGAGGGCAGATGGCAGCGCCGGGTATCAGAAGAGCACTGCGCAGCTCATGGTGCGCTGGATGCCTGCAGAGCGGCTTTCACCGTGCTGCCCACCGCTCCGTCAACCCCGCCCACATCGCCGCCAACACCCAGGTGCCGCCAACACCCAGGTGCTGCCAACACCCAGGTGTCGCCAAATCCCAGGTGCTGCCAACACCCAGGTGCCTCAACACCCAGTGCTGCCAACACCCAGGTGCTGCCAACTCCCAGGTGCTGCCAACACCCAGGTGCCGCCAACTCCAAGGTGCTGCCAACACCCAGGCGCTCTGTATAGCAGCTGTGCTGTATCGCATTCCATTATCCTTCCTTGTGCCCCTGCTTGCACACACGTTCCGTCTGCTGCTATTGCCTGATGCCACACATGTGCCCGTCTGCTCTGCTATTGCACACATCATATTGTATTGACCACACATCATATTGGTATTGCACCCGCTTTGTGTCATCTGTGCGGCCTTCCAATCAGAGTTGTTTCCTGCTGTGATTATTCTTATGCTCATTCCGTTGTCTGCTGTGTTGCTATTCCATGTGCAATGTTGCCATATGTCATGTACCATGCGGCCGTGTGTGCCAATTTCCCGTGTACCATTTTGCAAACCACGTGCCATATGCCATGTGCAATGTACCATGGTTTGTGTGACGTACCACATTTTGTGTGACATGTACCATGTGCGATGTGCCATCTGTTATGGCCATGTGCTATGTACCATGTGCCATGTGCCATCTGTCACTTGCCATGTGCGTATGTAACATGTGCCGTGTGCCATCTGTCATGTGCCATCTGCTATGTACCATGTGCCATGTGCCATCTGTCACGTGCCATGTGCTATGTACCATGTGCCATGTGCCATCTGTCATGTGCCATGTGCTATGTACCATGTGCCATGTGCCATCTGTCATGTGCCATGTGCTATTCACCATGTGCCATGTGCCATCTGTCACGTGCCATGTGCTATGTACCATGTGCCATGTGCCATCTGTCATGTGTCATGTGCTATGTACCATGTGCCATCTGCCTGTGCCACGTACCACATGCCATGTACCACATGCCATGTACCACATGCCATGTACCACATGCCATGTGCAGGTGTACGACTTCAACATTTCTGACATTGACATGGCGAAGCTCGACTCACTCAATGAGGACTACGTTACAGGCTGGGACCCCACTAGGGGCCCGTGAACATGAAAGCATCGCTTATTTTATATTTCTCGCAGCACTGTTTATCAGGGCTGTTGGGAAAAAGATCTCTGAAACTCAGGGTTTCTTGGAAGCGTTACTCTGATTCGACAGGGTTTTGCAGATTATGGAATTGTGTGTTGAACCGGGGTTAAAACTCAGAACCTCACCCTTACAAGCGCACCCGAAACCAAACTGCTTGCAGATACCGTCAGCCCCCGGATTAGCGCGCCCCTGGGGTTATAAAAAAAACACGTTTCTTTTAGAAGGTGGGCTTATAATCGAGGATTTTTATAATCGCTGACGCTAATATAATGACATTTCTTAAATGCGTAATTGAGAAAGCTTGCTTTCTTATTCTTATCAATTGGCATCGTTCTCATTACAAATGGCTTATTACAACATTTGCATCAACGTTGAACACAAGCTGGTGCAGTCGAATAACACTAGCTAAGATGTACCCTATCCAAGTGGCATTAGCAAGGCGGTTTACTCTGGGGTGGGTGGTGGGAGTGTTGAGTGAGCCGTTTGAAAATCGAGAAACGTGGGTGGAGGGAAATGAACTCCAACCCACGGTTTTTGTAGTTGGAGAAGGGCGTTTAGCGCGCTTCGACGATGCCAATTGTGTGCAGTACAAGCAGCTTCGCTTTCACAATACACAATTTTAAAAAACACAATGTGTGTTTAAAAATTATAATATTGAGAAAGCTTGCTTTCTTATTCTTATCAATTGGCATCGTTCTCATTACAAATGGGGTCTCTGAGACATGGGCAGCGGGGGCCTCCGGTTGCGTACGAGTGCCTCTGAGTGTTGTGCCGATGACGCTGCATGCGTCAGGTCTTGTAGGTTACGGGAGGCTTCGATAAGAGGCTCGACGTATGGTGTAACATACATTTCCTTTGCTGAGTCGCTTCGCCATCTGCCCAGCCGTTTGAAGACCCTGTCTGGCACGCCCGTGTTGGCTGCTACTGTGGCTGCACCTTTTCGGAAAGAATGTGTGCCGAGCTGCAGGTCTCCAAGGCCCACTTTTGCGTAGGCTTCCTTGCACCAGTTCCGGATCGTGGTGTATGAGGGTGGCCTTGCTTGGCCCTCGCTGGTTGAAGCGTGGCCGAAGACCCGAATCAATGGTCCCTCTGATTGTGGGCCATAGCCGGCCAGTTGGATGAAGCGTCGGGTGCAGCGCACTGGGCAACAAGGGTCTGTCGTTGCTGCAATGGGAATCCAAGTGCCATGACCAGCCTGATCGGTCTTGGAGTGTGGTATGAGAATCCACATGACCTCGTCGTCGAATTGGATGTCTTGCCATTTTATGGCTGCCAGGTCCGAATATCGCAGGAATCCTGAGTACATGAGGATGGGGATCAACCCTTTCTGAAACGTCGCGGTATCGTCGGACTGCAAGTAACTCGCGGCCATGTCCCGGACTTGTTGGATCGATACGGGTTCCTTCATACGAGTAGGGCGAGGGCAGTGTCGTTTTGCACAGTCACGGACTTGGGTGGTGAACGGTCCGGTTGTCGGGCATTTGCTCCCAGTCATGCGATGAGCGAAGCTGACCGCCGAGCACGTCAGCTGCACTACGGACAGGGTGGCTTTGCGTCGGATGCGTGCGTGTACCGGTAGAGCGCGAGGGTCATGTCGGATGCCGGAAGAAATGGGAGGTTCACTTTTGTGCAGAAGGCTCGAAACTTGGCCCAGTATGGTTCGTATGTCCGGATCGTAGAATCGGCGCGAGATTGCGCGAGCATGTTGATCATTTGGTCGTGTAACTTTGGGAGCAAATCTGAACACAGGGCGTTGATGTTTTGAATTAGTCAAATGCCATTCTCAGTGCAATAATTGGGCTGTGCGGTAGTCCCATGCCTGAAAAAGCATTGGAATGGGACCCTGCGTCTAGGCATTGGCTTCCGTGTGTCAGAGGGATGTGCGCGTGGATGTGTGGAGCCCAAGTGCATGGGGAGGGTTGCAAAAGTTGCCACCAGCTTGCGCCTGGCCAGTGTGGAACTATCAGTGTGAGTGATGCATGGGTGCGTTGTGCGTGATGGAGGACGGCTGGGACCAGTTGGGGCGGGGGGAAGGCGAAGTTGTTTTCGGGTGTCCACGCGATCGAGAACGCATCAACTGCGATAGCTTCTGGGTGGGGAATCTTTGTGCAGAAGCGCGGCAGTTGGGTGTTGCGGGAGTTTGCGAAGAGGTCGATGGAGTGGGGCCCCCAACGACGTTCCAAGATGCGGAACCACGGCGTTTTCAGCGCGTAATCGTCGTGGTCGACCATTTTTGAAAGTTCGTCGGCGTGTGTATTGAGCTCGCGCGGAATCCATTCGATGATCAACGAGTGCCAAGCTCCATGCATGTTCGGATGATGCTCTTGCATGCCGTTGCGAGGTCGGGGCTGTGAGAGCCGCCTTTTCGAAGGATGAAGAACACGCCCTGGTTGTCCACCCGCACGAGAACGTGTTTTTGCTTGATCTTGGTCGCGTATATTTGGAGCGCCCAAAGGACGCCTTCGATCTCCCGTCGCGTGCTGGACGTTCCTTGTAGCGGCTCTGACATGGTTGCGCTAGCTTCTTCGAGGCCGCCCGGAAATGTGGTCAGAGTGGCGCCCCAACCATGAGAGCTGGCATCCACATGGATTATTGCGTCGTAGCTATTCCTGACGTGAAAAGGTGCGCCGTTGAAACGGTCAAATTCCTCGAGCCAAAATTGGAGCTCCTCTGCTGCAGATGGGGGGATAACCACGCTGCTTTTCCATGACGGTGCTTCGTTGATCACTTGTAACATAGCGTGGCTGAATGCGCGAGCAGTCGCGCCAAGTGCGAAACCCATCGATGCAAGCATGCCAATGATTCTGGCCACGTGGGGGACCGGGACTGGTCGGCATGCCCTGCTTGCGCTCAGGAGGTTCCGGATGGTTGCATGTAGTGAGGCTCGTCGGTCGGGACCGATGGAGAATTGGCCGGTGCCGGTCTCCTGTTCTACGCCCAGGAATCGGAGATGTTGCGATGGTGACAGTTGTGATTTCTTCGCGTTTATCACAAGGCCTGCCTCTTTGAGGTCCAATATCACCTGCTGGCAGATTGCTTGCGCATCGGCTTTCGACTGGCAGAGGAATAAGATGTCATCCACGTAAGGTACGACTCAGATGCCTTGTTCTCGCCAACGCCGAGCTAGTTGCTTGATGAGCTGTGTAAAGACGAATGGAGCCGTCGCGAGGCCGAATGGTAGTGAACGAAATGCGTATGTGCGCCTATCGAATTCGAAGCCAAGGAACTTCCAGCACGATGGGTGGATGTCGATGTGATGGTAACCGGATTTGAGGTCAATGGAGAACATCCAGTCCCCAACGCGCGCCAGGTCGGCGACACGGCTGAGCCCCTCGTACTTGAACTTGGGGACAATCAAGTTAGCGTTGACCTTTCTCAGATCAAGAATGAGCCTGCATTTGTCTTTTTGCTCGACCACGTTAAGTGGACTTACGCACTTGAGCTCCGTTGCGGCCATCGGAACTGCCGCTCCCGTCTCTATGAGTTCTTGGATGGCGGTACGTGTGAACGTAGCATGCGTGTTTGCCCCGACATGATTGCGATCGTGGAAAGGTTGTGGTGGGCCGTGGCTCCATGGCAACCAGTAACCCTTGGCGATGACGGAGAGAACGAGGCTGCTGGGGCACCATGAGCTCCACCACGCAAAGGTCGCGCGAAGACGACCGCGCATCTGTGTAATAGTTCTGTCTGTAACGGCAAATTCGTACGGGTCATCGTAGCATGCCGCCTCGCACCGTCGTGCTCCTGTGCATGGGAGGCCAAGTGGTATACGGGTTGAGTATTCCATGTTAAAGCATGTGTGTGCATGTACATGTATGGGCAACCATTGATCAAATGTGTGAAGAAAATAACAACCGACGGAAATGTCAACGAATGTGTCGGGCGCGAAATGGCGCTTCTTCTTCTCCTCGTTTCCTCCTTTTTTTTTTTTTTTTTTTTTTTTTTTTTTTTTTTTCGGCCCAGCGTGCACTCGGTAGGATGTGGTTGTGCCTGCCCTTAGTGCATGGGAGATGATGCCTATGGCCATGGACACACTTGTCCATTGTGTTTCTCTTATTCTCTCTTGTTCTCTCTTTCTCTTTCTCTCTCCTCTCTCTCTCCCACTCTCTCTCTCTCTCTCTCTCTCTCTCTCTCTCTCTCTCTCTCTCTCTCTCTCTCTCTCTCTCTCTCTCTCTCT